AAATATTTTTGGAATTTTAATACATCTTCATAAACATTTATTTTAAGAATCGATCAATTTAGTCCTCATCGGAAACATTTTAACTCTGACTATTACTTGCACCAGTTAAAGCTTTTAATTTTATGGCAGACTTTTATCAAAGATAAAAAGATAATAAAATTAAAATAAAAAGAATTTCATTTGATTAAAAGATTAGTAAGTGTATCAAATCTTCGATTATTCTATATCTTATGTTTTTCCTCCTTTTTCTCCTCTTATATTTAGTTATTTTTCAGACTGTGTGTAAAAAATTTCCTGCTGAGCTACTGGATTAAGATTGAATTTTTTTTACCGGCATAGTTTTCTCTTTTTTTGATCAAATTTTTTTTTCAACTTTTTTTTTGTGTTATCTCGTCGTCGCCAGGTGAAGAGTCGTTTAGATCTATGCGCACATACGTACACACACGCCCACACACGCCAACACACACATGCACTCATATAAACGGTTGCTAAAAATATTTTCATGTTCAAATAGAAATATTTCCCCATTGAAATTGGAAACGTTTTTGCCATTGTGTGGCTCGACCGGATGTTGTACAGTTATTGGAATGTCTTTGCAGCCCCACCGACTTCCTCCCCGACTCCTCCATAAATACTAACCGACTATAACAATGGACTATGACTATTAGTTGACATTTTTCTAGTATTTCTCGTCGTTATTTATGTTGTTGTTGTTCTCCGGCTGCCATCGACAGGAAATGGTAAACTTATTTCTCTTATTAATTTCTGTTGGCAATTTGTAAAGCAGCAGCCGTCCAAAAATGTTTTCCAGATAAATCAGTTCAGCATTTGTTGCCTTTTGTCTACTTCAACCGAGTATCACCCGCTCGTCCCCGCATTTCTCAGCTGCATTGCAATGTTGTGCAATTACTCGCATAGTTTCATAGCTAAGGAGTCAGCCTGGAAATGCTTCTAACTAAATTAACCTGCAAGACGCAGAGTCGCAACGTATTCCAATCGTTTAGTGTCCTGGCAGGAAACTCTTAAGAAACAAAAGCTGTTCATGCTTGTCGTTGCATTGCATTCATAACTAAAGCACATTTAAGGTATTTCTCATGCAGCTCAATATGTTTGGCATGCGAATCACAAACGAATTCCTCTGAGAAATTAAGTCCAGCAAATATTCAACAATTATTCATTACAATTTAAATTGTCATATTTAAAGCATGTTTATGTTGATTATTGCCATGCGTTTGTCAAGAATGTGCGACGAAAAAAATGATTTAAAAAATATATAGAAGCACCATTATTCTATAATAATTAAGGCATCCCGAGACAGAATCAGTAGTTGCCTTAAATACAATTGTGACGAAACTCGAAATAAATAACTATTGAGGAAAAATCAGGACAAAAGCAATTTAAGCTTGGCCACCCGCTATTTATCCAAAGAAGTTATATATATATTATGGATGTACAAAACTGGATCACAATTTGAACATTAAGTCTATACATCATGCCGAATCTTTTTCTATAATCGTCATATTCTTTGCAATCATCATATAAAATAGTTTGTAGCTAAGCTCAACACACAACCGTTGACACTATATTGACACTGAAAAAAAAACTCAAACAAAAATGTAAGATATTACAAAAAAAAGGATCACGCAAATAAAAATATATATAGTAGTATATACTTTGCAGCAACAGCAATCGCATTCAATTAATAGCTTGTAATGCAATTGTGAGTGGCAATTGATGGCTGCAGTGTGGATCTGTTTATATGATATAAACTATACTAGACACGCCCGCATTGCGCGAACTAAGTCAATTAAAACACGATTGGCGGCTAATTCAATGCACGGCCACGAATTTGTCCGTTGGTTTTGGGCCAAAAATATTGCAGCTGCTAACCGAATGGCAACCAAAATATTTCATGTCACTTAAATTAGTAAATTTTGTGCATAAATGCAAAAATAAATGTACGACTGCGGTTTAATGTTCGCGATTGCAAAAACCAGACTATATTCGATTGCCCTCATAATTATTATTCCGTTTTTCATTATTTAATTTGTTGCTGTTGCCTCAGTTTTAGCTTTGGCATCGGCTCATTTAGAATGTGGCAATATTTCTAATTAAAGGTTGCAAACGAAATCAAAACAACCGCGAGACTGTTACGCAGCAGGACAACCAACCAATTTATATATGTCTGTGCGTGTGTGTGCACGTGTGTGCGTGTGCAGTTAAGTATGCTATGATTTATGCATCGCTGCTAAATGTTGCTGAGGTTTTTGCGTTGATTTTGTGCAATTGGTTCGAGCCGCGCTGCGCTGCGGTTCTGCCAGTGCGGCCAATGTCAACTATTTCACATTCAAATTGCATATTCCATGCACGCATAATTTAAGCTATTGAGCATGCAATGCACAACCACCCACCCACCCATACAATTAGTCCCACGCGCTACGTGTTTTTGTGTTGAAAGCAAAATGCATAATAAACGTGCAGAAAGTATGCTACAAAAAATTGCATTGAATTATTCGCATCATGTAAACAATCCAAAGGGAGAGCAACTGACTTTATGAGAGGCTTTTAAACAAAAAATTCCAATCGGCAAAATGGTTGAGTTGAAATTTTTCAATAAAATCAACAAATATTTAGTTAGTTTCAAATGAATTAAAAATTATTTTTTATATATTTATTAAATAAATCAAGAAAGTATCTTCTATAGGCATTGCCCTCTTGCAAAACTCTGAGAATAGTGTAGCTCGTAAATGCTGAGTTTAAAGAAAATATCTTGGCAATCAGAATATTTTGCCATATACCTTCTTTTCGACCGATTTTTCCTATCGAAGCTCTATGACATAGTGGTCCGATGTGATAAGATTTTGAATATATTTAGGGACCATAGTGTATATTATTAGTAATTATAAGACCAATAATGTATGGAACTTTCTTTAGATTTTGATAACTTTAAGCAAGTTACATTAATCAAGCTTTTAGTTCATAATTTTCATTAACTACAAAATTCATTCCACCCAAACTTAAACTTATGCCAACTGTTTTTATGAGACCTGCTATAGTATTCCGAAGCATTCCCTGAGGAGCAACCTTCTTCAAATTGATTTGGGTGCACGCACCATCAAAAAACATTAGAAATTCAGCATTTAATTTAAAGCAACTAGATAAATTGCAATCAGTGAATTGTTTTTAGAATGTCACTGTGTCACATTGTAATTATAGACTACTTATCTTACAGGAAAAACAACCCTAATAGCGCTCTTCCCATTTTATCCAGGTCAGCTGCCAAATTGTGATAGTTGTGGGTTTTAACAAACATTTAGCGTGCTCGCTAAGTGTTTGACTTCGCATTTGACCTAGTTAATAATTTAGTACAATAAATAGCTGAGATGAATGTCAGCAGCACATCCGGCGTTACATTTGACACTGAGGCTAATTTAATGGAACACCGTCAAGACTTTGTTGGCTCTGCACGCAAAATCTGCGTGGGCCAAAAGGCTGAACACGGTCGACGCGATTCGCATGTATCTAATATTTAAAGTGACATATCTATTTATATGCAAATGCCACGCCTCCCGGGTATACGATATTACCTGGACTCATGTAGTAGGGGCTGGCCGTGTGCGTGCCAAGGCGCTAAAACTTTCTTTTTAGGTTAAAATCCTTCGCGCAATAAATCACAACACATACGCGAGCCATACACTATGAACAAGGAGGGTGTGTGGCTATGAGGTTTGAGGGTAGTGAAAAAATAAAACTAATAAATCTAAGGCCAATTAATTGACTTAACTGCTGTCGGGTAGGCGGGGACATGTTGTCTGTGGGCAATGTGGCCTTTGTAACCCTTTGGGGCTCACAATTTATGGTGCAAACATAAACTTGAACTCACATATAATAAATCATAACATTTTACAGATAATAGAAAGGCTTCTAGCATACATGAAATCGTGATTACGGAATCGTGTATTCAGTATCCTTTAGAGCCATTCCCGGTGTGTGTTTTAATCGCAGCGCTTGCGGCTTGCAATTTTAATAAACTGCTGCAAGACAGAGGAAAAAAACTTTATAGTCAAAATAAAAAATGCAATTTTTTTACACACGCAGACACAGACACATAATTTACGCTCTGCCTGTGTCCCGCTCTTCAAGGCAGCCACATTTCTAAGCTAAGCCAACAAGCCACACACAGGATGTGCCCCTTATATCCGCCGGCGTCATATGGGAGGCTACCACAATCTAAACCAATTCAATCCAATCAAAACGAATGCTTCGACTGAGTTTCTTACTTTTTTGTGTTGCCTGTTTTGATTGGTAGCTGAAAGACGTTTTTTGTTGAGCTTTAACCGTTGTTTGCATAAGGCTTAAAATGGCTGTATGCTTAAAAACCTAAAATATCAACTATATAGTGGAACATATGGAATATATACATATATAACTAACAATTGAGAAAGCAGAGTTTTTCGATAATCATGCTGCTGTATGAATTGAGTAGGCGGCATCCCGGAAAGGCGATGTAATAATAAATATAAATGTCGGAGATGTCCTGATATATAAATTATACATCCAAAAAAAAAAAATCGTTGCAGAGAAATAATACAGTCTAGACTTGTGTCCAACTAATATGAATGTCTGTTATTAGAGTTTTTATATGCCTTTAAGGAAACCAAGCTCCCACAACAGACTAATTTGATCGGTTTTCCAGCGATCTTTCTAAAAATAATCCATTATTATAACCGAAAATATTCTAAACCAGATGGTGGATGTTCGGTTATGAAAGATTTCACTGTACTTACTTTTTACGCTTAGTAGGCAATCATTTACAAATCAATTTTTAGTACAATTTATCCTCGTGACTTTCGTTGAGACTCAATACACTTTTAGCACACGAATAGTTCAAATCAAAGAAACAATTTTCTTTTAATTCGATTTTAAAAACTTTTAAGGAAAATTTTAATAATAGTTTTTTATTATCGTTCGGATAAAGCAGCTTAGGTAAGTCGAAAGAAACGAAGGCCTTAGGCATACATAAAGTGGGTATGCGAGGTGTGGGCAAAGGAATAACATCCTGTGAAGCAATCGCCTACTGCTGGCTAATGCAGACAGCCGACAGTGTTGCCACACCCCGTGACATGTAATGACGTCATTTACATGGTGCAACAACATTTATTACACGAATTGCAGGCGCCTGCCTTTGGCATGGGCGTTTAAATAGAAAACGCGCGGCTAATTCATAAATCAAACGTTTACTGTAGAGGAATTGCAAGGATTGTTGAAGGAAGATAAAAGCTAGGATTTGCGCCAACATAAGTATTTTTGGAAGAGCTTCTATGAAAATCAATGTATATAGATGCAGCAATTGTGAACAATTTTCTATGAGTCAAGAGCCAATCGTCTAATTAGTATTTAGTAACTAATTTATCTCCCACAGCAGAGACAAGATGGAAGCGAAGAGTGCTTCTGCGTCGGGTAATTATTTGAACAATGCTGTGACCAACAAGGCGTTCGTAAACTTCATGAGAAGCTACAGTCAACAAAATTATGGTCTTGATGTAGTTGCCATATCTGTGCAAGGCAGCAAGGCTTGGAATAAGCTCACATACAAGCAAAAGGATAAATATCGCACACTAGACGCGGCACGAAACGCCATGTCAGAAATGCACACCGACGCCTGCTGTCCAAAGCGATGCAAGCGCAAACCTTGCTGTCCAAAGCGGAGCAAGCGAAAACCTTGCTGTCCGCCGCCAAAGCCCAGATGTCCGGTGCGCAGGCGTAGACCCTGTTGCCGACCTAAATGCTCCAAGCCGAAGCCTAGATGCCCCAAGCGTGCGAAGCCATGTGCCAAACGTTCGAATCCCTGTGCCAAGCGTAAATGCCAAAAGCCAATTGTAGCTCCGTTAACAAATAGCGGTTACTTGAACTTCATGAACCTCTTTCGACGCAAATACGATCATCTAGAACCCAACGATTTAGTTGTTAGAGGAGCAAGAGCTTGGTGTAGAATGCCTGAGTACAAAAAGGATCGCTTCCGCCGTCAAGTAAACTCCTTTTAATATATTTCTCTAAATCTTATCAAGAAGCTGCTCCCACTAGCGGCGTCTTGCGTCAACTTCGTAAGCTTCAGCCTTGGACTTGCCCAAAAATTCCAATGCAAAGCCCACCATACCAGCGACAACCGCCAGGCTACAGGCACAATTACGCGCCCAGTCAAAACGCATTGCTTGGGCTAGTCTTTTAATTCTAAATTTTATGTTCAATTTTAACTTTGTGCTATACTAAAATAAAAATTTAAATGAAATGTCAGCCTTGTGGATCAAGTTGATAGGTAGCTTGCCAACCCAATCTACGGGTGTGAAAGTTTTTTGTGAGCTGGTTTGAGTAAATATCAGGCAAAAATTTTCCTAGTATACTACGAAATTCAGGGTTATGGGTCCAGGGCCGCCTCGCTAAGCCAAACAGCTTGTCAATCCAATTATTTGTGTGGACGCCCAAGATCTTTTGCGGCGATCTATTAACATATATGCAAATAAACTTTGAAGTTAGATTAATGTTCTTTCTACCGTCTGATTTTTCAAGAATTGTGTGCGCAGAGAATACATATAGCTTGCACATAGAGAAATCTTTGCCTTTAAAGTCTAAGCTCGGAGAATTCGATTGTAATTTCTAACAAAACTAATCAACGCATAACCCTGCTGGCATAACGCGTAAGAAACAGATTAGCTTCAACAATAGATTGTGTGATTCAAAAAGCTGAGAAAGCTAACATTTATATGAACTAAGAAAATCCTTTGCTGTCATTTTTACTTTAAAAACATAGTATTCGTAGACTTGTTAATCATTGTTTAGCGCAGCTAACACGCCAGTTTCACAAGTATTTTAGTAATCATTCACAGCTTGTGAAGAAAAGAACATTTTTTTAAGTTTCTATCATTTTTCTCTTTGGTATTTTAGCCCGTTGCAAAAGTAAATTTTATATATGTGTGATTTTAAATTCATCAAGGACGAGTTTTTCAACTGAGGTGAGTGAATAATAACAAATACAAAATCGAAAACATTGCATAGCCAGCAGCAGTTTTTTTCACTGTTGCCAAATTGTTTATGCACTGTGATTGAGCCAACTTTTAATCCTCGCACGCAGCAACCATATTCGGTAGAGAAATATGGGTGTGCAAGGGGTTGGCTCTGCCGGATAATGTCGAGGCAGCCGCTCGTAAACATAAATCCAAGTGACGCTAATTGTTTGTTGCAATTACTGCTGCAGTTACGTGCAGCGGACAGACAACAGCAGTTGACAGTGCGGCAAGTTTCGGAGCGCGGGTATGAGATAAGGCTAGGTACACGGGTAAATGGGGGCCAAGTTTCAATGTGGGCTCAATGCATGCAAATTCTGTTGCAGATGTAGGGGTTGCTGCTGCAGTTGCAGCAACAGCAAACGATTACTCAAACATTGTTGCAACTGCACGTTATTGTTGTTATTGCTGTCGCTGATGTTGAAGCTGCTCGTTGTGCGTGCTAAATGGCAACTATTCTGGCGGCTAATGATAATCACTCAACGCCCTCTGCACTTACCTTTTGTGCCAACTTCCCCCCTTACAGCTTCAGCTGCTTCCATCAATGCTGCTTCCTGTCAATTTCTTAATCAAAAGCATAAGCGCCCTGATAGCTGCTACGTCTAACTACGGTTTTTTCTTATCACGTAATTCTAGAGCAGGTTGCTTTATTACAAAGCACTTAGCTAAGGTGACTACCCGTAAGAACTAAGAGGATAGTGGTAGATACAAATAAGGAAATGTCACAAATATTACTAATGGGACGAATTGCTGGCGCTGTTTGTTAAAACTAACTAAATTATATAGTCAAAATTAAATATGAAGGATTTATAGCTTTCAATTATGAATAAGAAATAGGCTTCAGCTCGGTTCGAATTCAGATCATTATCAAATATACAAATATTTTTGAATGCCTCATACTCGCAATTTGTTCCACTGTGCCCTGCCGAGTGGCTGTCTATTGCAGTCGCTGTAGCAACTACTGTGAAGCCCCTCCACTTGCTACATTGTGTTGGCTGTTGCTTTCAGCTTGTCAGCGCAGCTCCTGCTGGTGACTTGACCAACTAACTGCCCGAGAATGGATTTCAACTTAGCATGCAAAGTCCAGACACATTCGCCAAATGGGGCGTATTATGGTCAACAAGACCACAAATGTACAGGGGGAAAAGCACAGCTGGACATAAATCACAATTAATGCATGGCCATAAGAAATCATATTAATATTTTTGGAAATGCATTTGCAACTAGCTTAGATAAATTATTATTTATATTCTTGGTTAATTATGGTGCACATATTGGCATTGTTCTATGCAAATTCAAATACCTGGACAGCTGTGGAAAATAGCCATGCTAAGTATCATTCCTGAATATACTAAGCTTGCACGAACTAAAATTTATATATAGACTTGGGAAAATTTGCATGGCAAATTGTAGCTTTAATTAAAATGCTCGCTTGCAACTAGTTCCACAAACTAAGCGAGAATTTAAACTGAAACAACTTCAATTTTTAATCTACAATGCTGCCAAAGCAAAGCCTGAAAGACTGTGTTCCAGTACATTACAATTAGAGAGAACTGAAAAGCGGCTTAGCTGCCCGACCCGTTGAGATGCATTTCACTCGGTCTACCTCCAGCGCAAGTAAACCCTATTGTTAGTCTTAGCAAACACGGTCTATAGGTGGCTTGCAGCTTGCAAGTCAAAGCAGCCTCAACAATATTAAACAGTTCGTAAAGCTGCTTACCCCTGGGGTTCTCACTATATCTCAGGCAGTTTGCAACTGTAAAGTGATATTAATTATGGGCTTTTGTTGCTCGAGGCAACAGCACTCGAAGGAGTTGCCGGCCCTGTACTCATCTTCGTCAGACACAGCTTTGTGTGGCCAGGAATACGAGACTCATGCAGCTAGACAAACAAAATTCTTGCAATTAATGGTGAACAATGTATGCATGCGCCTTGAACTTGGTTTTGTGTGCTTGCATGGACTGTATTAATATTCCTAGTGCATTTACAGGTATCTAGACAATCTTATGACTGAATCTAATGCACAATAGTATACAGCTAGCAACAGAAATTCCTTAGAATCTTAATTAATCAAAAGCATGACACATTTCCTTCTCTGAACAGTCGATATGAGCGACAACAAGATATTACTAGCTCAAAAAAGCTTGCTCAGAGGACCCGTGACCAACAATGGGTTTGTGAACTTTATGCGAAGTTATGCTGCACGTTCTCGCGCCCTAGATATACCTGATGTGGTAAGAGGTGGCAAGGCATGGAACCGGCTTTCACCTGCACAGCGGAACAAATATCGAAATGTCGATGCTAACGACGATACCGATTTAGACGATTCGTGTTGCCCGAGGAAAAAAAGTCCACCCATGTGCTGTCCTAAACGTAGACGTTCTTGTCCCAAGCCGTGTCCGCCAAAACCTAGATGTCCAGCGCGCAGGCGTAAGCCATGTTGTCGACCAAAATGTCCCAAGCCGAAGCCCAGATGCTGCAAGCCTGTATGCCCCAAGCCGGTATGCCCCAAGCCGTGTAAGAAATATAAATGCCAGAAGCCGGGTCCCATCACAAACAACGGATACTTGAACTTTCTGCGCGTCTATCGACGCAAACATTGCGGCCTCAGTCCCAAAGAACTGGTCATGAAAGCAGCACGCGCCTGGTGTCGTTTACCTGAGTGCAAGAAGGATCGCTACAGACGGCAGGTAAGCTCTTAATACTGTTATTCACAAAACTATTTGCTAAAATCAATTTCCCTCTTCATCAGGCCTGCAAGGTCACAACAAACTGCCGTCACAAGCGACGCCGTGTCTGCACCCAATGAGGATCATAACACCCAGCTCCTGCCCATTAACGAAAAATGTGAGGATGCGCATGCGATCCCGCACTCAACTACGTACCATCTTTTAAACGTGCTGCGTGTCCTAGTCCAAATCTGCGTTCCCGATCTCATTTGAAAACGTTTAAATTATATGTCTGCTCTATTTTTATTTTACTAAATCATTAACGCATTTTAAAAGAAGCTTGATCAAGTGTTGTTTTTAAGTTGGAGAGATTACGTTTCTATTTGAGCAGGGGAACAAGGAAATTATGAATAAAAAATATTATCCTCAACGTGTAAAGGTACAAAAAGCCAGCAACATCGAATGTAATCGCAGCTAATTCCAGCGAGAAATGCAAAATCCAGAATTTATAAATTAGTTTTTCCGATTTTGTGCGGGGCATCTTTCGCTCAAGTTGCGCCCAGGTCAGGCAGTCTTTAAGTAATATTAGCCAAAAGCTCAATCGAGTAACAGTTTAATGTCTTTGCGAGACTCACATTAATAAGTTGCAGGGGAGAGGTTGGCACATTGGCTGGCGCAACTATTGCGTGAGTGTCAAGGCTTAGATACATTTGTATCTCACGGCAGGCAGGCAGGTAGCACGTGTAGCTACTTATGCATTTGTGCAGGCTTGTGGGCCATATTCAATTTATTATTCCACCATATGAGCTTTCGCACTTAACTTGCATGAATATATAATGAGCTGTACGGGGGGAAAATGGTAGACGCGCAAAGCAGTGGGAAAGCTGCAGGATTGGGCAGGACGAGTGTGGGGTGCATTTCACGCAACGCTCTTCGTTGCGTGTTTGAGCCTGCTGTGAGACAACGAAATTGAATTATTAATAACACGCAGCGCGACTGAAACAATCTATAAATATACATGTGGCATGTGGTTGGCGGTGGTAAAAAAAAAAAAATAAAAAAAAAAAAAACAGGCAGCATGAAGCATGAAGAAAGCAAGTGAAAAGGCGACAACCTTGGGACACTTGGCCAACAAAACTAATCGTGCCACTTATGACCATAATTTGTCAATTTTCTAAACAATTCCCCAAAGTCGCATAAAATGTCGTCCGTGTCTCTTTTGGCTTTTGGCACCCATTACGCTCATTTCTCGCCCGCTTCTTCGGCTTCTCTGGCCGCTTTGCCTTTTATGAAAGGGACGCTGTGAAAAATGAAAGTGAACCCAAATTGCCAACAATGTCGTTTGACTGACTGACTGACTGACTGACTGACTGACAGACGAATCTGACGAGCTGACTGACACGACTCTACTGTATGTCTACGTACCCCTTGGACAATTTCTCAAACCCCACAACTTTGCTAAACGCATTTAAATGCCGTTGTACGCATAAATTACTCAGCGTCCGACAGTTTTAGCCTAAAAGTGTAAATGAGTTTGTGGCTCGCTCTACATTTCTGTTTTCTGGTACTATATGAAATTGAAATAAATGCGTGGGCAACTCTCTCAGCATTTTTTGTTTTTCCAGGATTACGGGTCGGAATGAGAAACTTGTTGCTGACGGTCGAGATTGCCAACTGAAATATGTGACCAGCTTAAAAGGAAATTGTGTGTGCAGAGTTTGGATATTAAAAAAAAACTAGCATGGGTTTTTGTGCGCCCCGATGTGTGTTTGAAAATAATTTCACAAAAGTTTGCCATTAAAAGATTAAAGCTCAAAAAATTTAAAATCCGTTAAAATTTATCATAATTGATTCTGTGAATAATTTATATGTTATATTAAAAACAGTTCTCTGACTTACATTTATTTGATGAAATGTGTTTGTTCCTGGTAAAGTGATTTTTAAATATCTGGAAAAACATATTTAAAACGTATATTTAATATATTTATTTATTATTTTAATCTGGCTTTAAATTAAAAATATATATCTATATAAGATATATGAATAATTGTCAAGACAAGGTTTCAAATATTGCCTACTTCAAAGAAAAATATATAAAAATATAATTTGTCATAAAATTATTACAAAAACTTATAATAAAAAGAAAGCACCTAATAAAAGCCGATTAAAGAGTAATAATGATAATCGAATAAAATCCATTTAGTACTTAACAAAAAATGTATCAAAATGAAATCAAAGATGAATAAATGTTATTGCAAATACGAAATTGACTTAGCCAGGTAGAAAAGAAGCTAAAAGAAAAAGGAAAAGCCGAACTTAAATGGTATCGAAGCACCTAAATTGCCAACGACCGGTGCGGCCTTTGTTTTAACGCCCCAAAATTACCGCCCCTTTGTGTGTTTGGCCGCAGATAACTGCCAGCCAAATGATACACATTAGGCCAAGCTATAAAACAGGCATACACGTATGTGTGTATATGTGCGCAAAATCAATTCAAGCTCAATTTCCTTTGATGAAATATGCGACGGTTCGGGGCACCGTGTCGTACGTGACAGTTGTGCTCAATATAATACTAAAAAAAAAAATTACTATAAAAAATATATATATGTATATGTGTATATATATGTATACATATTGAAGGGCTTAATCAGCCGTAAGTATTTTGGTATTAAGTTGTGCTTGTGCAGGTTTTGTAACTGCATGAACCGCTGCATATCGTTCAATTAATAACACAAATCCTTTACGGCTCAGTTGCTGGGGTTGCCGTCGTTAATTAATGTGCCCGACGCCAATTTAATGCACTCGCTGCCGCTTGCTGCTATGATTAATGTTTAATTAAATTTGCAACATTTATATAAAAACATAATAAAATAAAAGAGAATTTTTACGTCAGGATTACATCATAATTAATCGCAGTCATTATTTATAACGATATCGCCAAAAGAGCATTATACATAGGCGAAGTCGTTTGCCACTGCACTTGCAGTTGCATTTGCAGTTTAATATGTGCGTTACAATCGTGTAAAAAAAAAAATAAGACTCTAAACAAATAACATAACACATATGTCAGCGATTAAGACACTTTTCTAAACTAATGATACATTCATACAAAAATGTCCAGATGTGGCATATCATGTATGTCAGCGATGTCTGTATGTCCTCAACTGCAGTTTATTAAACAAGCGATAAATTAGCCTAACTTAAGCATGTCTATTAACAATAGGCTATTTATTAGTACTTAAAACAGGTCAGAATATTTCTTCAACTGGTTTTTAAATGCTTTAATTAATTACATATTAATTATTTGGTAATTTATTTATCAAAATATTTATTTATCCTAAAATTTTCTAATTTATTTATAAAAAAAAGCCTGACGACTATAAAATAAAAATATTTTAACGAGAAACTAACTTCAGTTAACTTGCAAATTATCTTTAATTAAAATATTAACTTTTATAAAATATGAATTAATATTTAGCTAAGACAAAGATAGAACAATAAGAGTAAAATATAACCTCAGAATCATGAACGATATGAAATTTTGTATATCTTAGAAAAAATAGTACAATAGTATATGGAGATCAAGTATCTTTGATTTCATAGCTGTCGAATATTTTGTGTTCTTAGCAGAAGTTTCACGATATCATCTAGTTGGCCATTTCCGACTTGAGACCTCGTATACATTTTAGAAAATATCATAAAAATTAGACTTATACATTTTGTAGCATTATTATATTAACTTCGATGACAAATAATCTGTGTATTATTATTGATTTTACTGTTTTTACTTATATGACTTGTACTATAATTTTATTAAATATTTTCATGTGCATAGCTCATAGGAAATTTCTTTGTTCAACTTTTAGCCTGAAGCTGTGTGCTCAACTCTTTTGAGGGTCAAGTATATTAAGCATGTTTATTTGATTAGAGTGCAGTGCAGTTGCTGTGCCCTGACAGCCAGTCAATTAGGATTGGAAATTAAATGTTTGAGCTAGATATTGTACATTATTTACACATGTTGGCTAATTGAATTAAATGATTCCGTTTTGATTTATGCATCTGAAATTTATGCAGCTACAAAGATTGTTAGCAAAATGCAACAATCTGATAATTGGTAATTGTAAACCATTATGCAAAAGACTTGCGGCCAGCTGCTCTTTATTGAGACATTTAATAATTGAAATTGTCGACGTGCAGATGGACATTAATAATGTTAAAAGGAAAGGGAAGCAAATTAAAACAAAGCTGCATAAGCAAGCAATGCAGGGAAACGAAAATTTAAATAGGAATTTAATGATGAGTACAAAAGTGAAAAACAAACGTTAAGAGATATTTAGTGGATACTCCTGAGAAAACTAAGATAAATGAATGTATTTATGGGTGATCTAAGGAAAACTTATATAACATTGCTTAGAAACTCAGAAAATAAATTATTTTTTTTTATCAAAATTATATAGCTTGCCGAGCATTATGGCCGATATGCATGAGGGTATAGTAACTGCCATTATACTCCTGTATCAGCTATTTTTATATATTGTAAGTAGCTGTAACAATATATGGATTTATATATATTTAATTATTTTTGAATAATTTATAGCGCTCAATTAATCCCATCAAGCGGGAAGCCCTTTTGCTCGTGATTCACAATTTTTTTATGTACTATATTATAAATCGATTTAAGCATTTAGCGCAAAGTAAGTTATCATCGAATTGTATCCTGGCAAGTCCAATATACATATATTATATTTGTTAATTTTGACAGCTTCTATAAACTCTCCCGGTCCAGTGAATACCTTTTACTATGTGCCCTTCGTCTATGAGGAACCTGCCAAGCACCAAGCACATGAGGATCTCCATTTGGTATTAAAGAGCACAACGTGGAATTTTCTTGAAACACTTTTCAGACACCATTTGGCCCTTTTGTTGCCCTTCATACTGGCTTTGTTAGTGCCGGTAAGTTTGATACATATAATATGATATAAAACCAGTCTATGTAATTCTTGGGAAGGCAATTTTATCATTCAGTGCCCGAAAGATTATAAAACAATTTAAGCAAGATTTTATATGATTTATGATCTTTACAAAAGCAAGATACTGCTTTAGTTTTAGCTAAATCATTTGAAGAAGTATTTTTTTAAAACAGGTTGAATTAAATCAAAGATCAGAGAAAGACAGAAGAGATACGTCTTGCAGCTAAATACGACTAATTATTACTCTACCTTTCAGCGCTGCAAACTGGTGTATGTGAGCAGCATGGTGATTCTCTCGAATTTAACAATTTGCATGTGCTTCATCTACTCGATGTGGAAGTGGCTGGTATTGAGCGGCTTCTCGCTAAGCCTGCAACTGTTGCCCATTTTTTTCTTGGGTCCAGTGGTGCAGCTGCTGCTCATGTTTCGTTTTACGGGGAACATGTTGGTGAGTGAAAAGAGTGAGAAAAAAAGCCCCCCAGATGGGTATTAAATTGTATCCAAGCCAATGCTCCCACTAAATCTACAGCTCAACCTATGGATTGTAGTTTGAAGCATGAAATTGACAGTGCCAAGCGAACGAAGACGCTATCCATTAGGTGCGGAAGCGGCACAAGAAGTAAAAGGCGTGTGGGATGTATAAGCAATGCACAAGTTTGGCATCAAATCAAAGCAATAAACCAACAAAACTGAGCAACTTCAGGCACTTGCACAAACCAGAAACACTTTCGCTGCATAACACAACTGCCAAACTGCAGGCATTTATGACAGTGTGCACTTTCTGCCCCTCGCATTCATATCGAAAGGCAGGCAGGGCAAATCGCATAACGAAATTGTTGCTGAAAAGTTGAGCAAATATTGAGGTCAGCTAAATTTTACGAGGCGACCCCTGCTGGCAAAACCGCTTTTCTTGTTGTTGTGTAAACTGTTTTGTAGCCTTTGGCACAAACTTCTGACACGCTCAGGATATATACACACACACACACACACGCACTCACTTGACTCGACAGGCACAAACATTCAATGAAAATAGTCATCAGTCGAGAGTTCTTTACTTTGTCTATATAAAAAAAAGAAGATATATATATATATATATATATATATATACAACCTGCCTGCCGGGCCGACAGTTATTGTCCTGCCTTGCAACCACTTGGATCGGCTTCAATAGTCAGCTTATGGCGCATTGCAGGCGTTCACTTTGTTCCCACCCTTCCGAGCAAAGGGCCTAACCCCCTCCCCTGCGATGCTCATTGAGAAATTGACGCAAATGCCTTTCGATTTTTCGTTCTGCTGCTGTATTTTGTGTTCGTGGACACAACTTGGCTTTTCGCATTGCATAATTGATTGTCGCTCAATATGCGTGTGTGTGTGTGCGTGTGTGTGTGTGTGCGTGTGTGTGTGTGTGCGTGTGTGTCCTTTTACTCGCCCTCATTTATGCACATTTTCAACATGAATTCAGTTTCACTTGCACTGATTTAATTCGCTTGCAGAAGAAAAGCTGCGACAAAAAGTTTAATTTACAATTTCACTTTTTAAAACCATTTCCAGGAGAACATTCTGAAGTTAGCTTAACAAAGCGAATAATCACTTTTTCGTTCTATTTAATAGTTTAAACAATATGCTGCTTATCAAAAAAAAAAAAAAAAAAAAAAAAACAAAAAGTTCTGTTGCTTAAGGAACTTCATTTTGTTTTGGGCGAAACCAGCAAAAACTTAAGTCAAAAAGTCAAAAAGTATGCGAAAATTTTCAAATAAATCTACTTCCCAAAAAGATTCTTATTCGATTTTTGGTGACAACACGAATTTATTCAGTATTTTTCCAGATATATTTTTAAAATCAAATTTAATTGGAAGCACTAGAAAAGAATAATAATTGTGTTTAGCTTGAATGCTCCGTTTGTTTTTTTTTTTTTTTTTTTTTTTACGCTTTTCTCTTTTCAAGTTAGCAAAACAATAACGAGTTTTCAATATGCCTCTGTAGCATATATATTTTAAAAGCCTCCCACTGGTTCGATTTTTTTTTATATTATTTTGAGTTTTTGTTTTGGGAAAAAAAAACTTTAAATTGCATTCATTTGCACATTTTGCGAGCAGATTTTGACAGCTCGGCACTGCAAATGCAATAATATCAGGACATGTGCAGAACATACATACTGTATGGATGTGTGTGTGTGTGTGTGTGTGTGTGTATTGGACACATCAACTGTCACAGTTTGTTGATTTCATGTGTAAACTGTGCGAGTTGGAAATTTGAAATTCATGTGCAATAAAATGTTGATATTCTCCGCACACATCCAGCGCCAGCAGCACAGGCCTCATTACGCCACCCGCACACACACAGACACACACCCACTGATACACACACATAAACAAGTCACATACACCCACACACAGATTCTAGATGGTGTGTTCTCATGTATTTATGTTTTCATTTGATAAATATACTTATACAAAAACTGTCATAGCACACGCTCTTGGAAAGATTGCAAATTGCATGCGGGAACTCCCACGAGTCTAATAACAAAGTAAAAACAAGAGCGTCAATTTGGCTTAACAAGCAAACCGAAACCGGAATTCCCTTGCCTAACATATGGTGATGATGGTGTTATATAAGTGAACCCATTAAGAAGCCTATTAAAAGTAAAATGTTTTACAATTTCGTTTAGCAGAGTATAAATAGATCTAAATAATTTAGAGTTGTTCCTAATTATTAGTATTAATGATAAAATTGATATGAAACAATACTAAATAGTAATTAACATCAATTTAATATATACGCTTAAAGAGTCTTTCAGCAACAAGGACAAACACTATTACATAATAGATTCACCCTGCCACGTCAGAGCACACGAGACGAATCTGAAGTCGTGATATAGCCATGCATAGTAACAAGCCACGGACCATGCCTGACTGTATAATGATGAGCAACGATATCGCCGTCTCTTAGCATGAGAAATTTAATTTTTACCCGCACACCGTACTCACTCACACACACGCACCCAATCCACCCACCTATGCACACCCACTGTGAACCACATAATTGTGTATTCAAGTAAGAGATATGGGAGTTGAAAGAAGCTTCTATCGGTGCGACTTGCAACAACTGACTGGGTGGGGGAGTTCGGTCTGAGCTCTGTTTCTGGTTCCTGGCTGCCTTAAATTAAGATAATGACACGTGAGAGACGCCGACGGGACTCGGGGGGAAAGTTACCTTTGCCTTAAAAGTAACCCTCGACTCCTTGGTCTACCACGGCTATATAGGTGTGTTAAAGGAAGCGCTTGGTAAATTGCGATAAGGCCAAAATGGCGCTCAACTGGCTTACATTTACACACTTAACCCTTGAGTTAGCTGCACGAAACGGCATGGCACGCACTTTAAAGCCGCCAATCTGCCAATTTGATGGCAAACTGCCAAAGACCTGACAATGATGTCGACGATGATGACGTTTGCGACCTGCATGCCAATGTGCCCCGCTTCTTTTGCAAAATTGAATTCTGTGCCCAGCTCGTGGGCGGCATGCCAGGCATGTCCAATGTCCTCGAACCGCTGTGTCCTATGTACCTCGCAACTGGCACAGATTACAAATCATTATTGGCCGCCATTGTTGGGGGCTAGGCCAATGGAATTGGAAGCATAAGCGCTCAGGAATTCACTCAGCACAAAAATTTAATTCGTTTGGACAAAAAAAAATAAGAATGCACGAAAGAGAATATCTAATTTTATAACAATCTAGGCAATAAGGAATATATAATAAGAGTGTTACACAGAAGAAAATTAAAAGAAACTAGACATACAAAAATATATAATTATATAGAAATTTACTACATAGTAAACAATTAAATTATATTACAACATAATATTGATTATAATAGTAAAGCGAAAGATATACAAAACATATAAATTAAACACAGTTGAATTACCTAAGCCAAGAGCTAAGTATATCAGGACGTTGAGCACAATTGCAAAGACCTAATTGGTCTTTAAAATATCATATCTGATAAAAAGCAACTGATAAATAATTGAGCCTGTGTATATTAGGGGAATAAAAAAAATGCTTAATTTAAATCTTCTAAAAATAACCCCTTTTGTTACTAGCTGTAATTATTTATATAATTATATAATTAACGCCGAGCCGTAACGTAAAAAGGGTTCAACTAGATCTGATCGCCATCTAAGGAAGACATAGCACAGTAACTGCCACTTATTTCCTTTTTTAACGGAGGTCACATAATTGACAGGGCTTTGAAATTTCCCACCCGATACCCGTACAAAAAAAAATACCAACAAAATTCAATGTAAAACGCAACGTTAAGCCACACAAAATGTACGTCAAGTCTTGTCTCAATCCATTTTTCCCCTGCCCCATAACTCTATAAACAATGCGATGACGGAAAATCCAAAGGAAACCCCAAACAATGGGCCACATGAAAGCAAACTTGGAGCGCAAATTTTCTTTGATTGATACGCAAATCAGCAAATCAATTGGAATGCCACAAAAATAAACTAACACACAAAACTGGAGCAGAACGGGCGAGGAATGGTAGATAGATATCTAGATAGAGAGAGGGAGAGGGATTGAAACGCGTTGGCAGGGTAAACTTTTTACACTAAATTTGCATTTCTAATGCCCGCAGGTGGATGTGGGCGTGGTCGTTACATGTGATTTTGATAGAACTGCGTGATTTGTGCAAGCCAAAAAAAAAAAAGCCAAAAAAAAAAAAACGAAAAAAAGGGCAACAAAATGTATGCAAAAAAGTTGGCAGCGCTGACAAAGCATAGTTGCCATAGTGGCAGAAAGTGGGATCCACAAATTGAGATATTCGCAGTCCAAGTAAATCACAACGGAGTAGATTGTGCTGCTGCGAGGCAAACTGGTAGGAAATGGTTGCATGGCCCCAAGGCAGCCTCAGGAATGCCGTTTCAACTGCACGCACCTAACTGACGCCTCACGCTGCCTACTGAAGCACACACACGTACACACAAATCCTTGCTTCACAAATTACAAATATGCTGAGCAGTGGGGCAAGGCTGGCTAAACAATTGTTTACAAATGAGCAAATAAATACCAAATAGGAAATGGAAAATTTGAAACGCAATTTATTAGTCAGTAAAATTTAAAACGTGAAAAAAATAAACCTTAAAAAACTTTAAACCAATAATATCTGACTCATAAACATATTATTTTACATAGAAAACAATTGTTTTTTTAATGATATATATATTATTTTATATTTTGATTCAATACATTTATTAATACACATATATACATATATATGAGACTATTCAAAATGAACTTTGGGCATCACGTTACAAATATTTTATAACTCAATTTTTTCTTTTAAAAAACATAATATTTTAAGGAAATACATATATTTTCATTTTTATTCAAAAAACAAATATATGATATGAAAGGAAAGTATAAAATAAAGAGTAAAGGGTGGAAAATTAAAGAATATTGCAGAATTTTTTGTTTTCATAGTGAAATTTTTGTAGTAATTGCATTTGCCACACAGTGCCTGGTCTTGAGCTTTGTTTTTATATGTAATGGCATTTTAATTGCGCGCTACAACTCAGCCAAGTGTCTCTCAATTAAAACTGTCTGCTTGGCTCAAAAGGATGTCGTCGCCGTGGGATCTTCGGCATGATGAAGGGTAAGGCGAGCGTATGCGGCGAGTATAAAGTGGATAGGGAAATGATGTCAGGCACATGTCGTAATTTGC